CAGAGTCTTGTTTTTTAAAAGGCTGATGAAGGGCATTTTTGTTAAGCAACGGATCTAGTTTTATTTCCTGTATTGGCTGTATCTAATTTTCCTTTGAGACTTTGGATTTTTCTTTATTTTTGTGGTACATGTGCTAACATATAATGGATTCTCTTTCCAGAATATTTTTGAGAGGCTGACAAAGTGTGGTACACCCTGTAATTTAAAGCAATGCATACTTCTATTGAGGATTATTGGATTATCAGCTTGTGGGTATTTTAAACATTATGTGTGACTGAGTGCTGGAGTAATCGGCACGCTAAATTTATGAATGACTGTTAATGAATAAACTTCTCTTACTGAAACTGAAATAGCAAAGCTATTCCTGGACCAGAAAGGCTGGTAGATTTTTGGCCTGTAATAAATTCAACACATAACACAAAGCAGGAGAAAAAAGAAAAGCATTGCTTAGAGTCAGTTTTGAGGAGGAATTACTGGTTTGTTGTTTTGTTTTGTTTTTTTTTTTTTTTTTTTTTTTTTCTTCTTGTTTGGAAAATGATTGCAGTAAATAAAACAATTTGGTTTTTACACCTCCCTGTAATTGAATTAAAGCACTTTCAAATTTTCTTAAACATTAATTTCAGGAAAACTAGACTTCCAGAAATAACTTTTATATGATTATGTCATATTGTATACATAGCACAGGCATGCATATTCATATGTATATAATTTATAACAGTATAAACATTTACATTAGAACCTGAAGGGACTCGTTTACCACGGTTTTGAATGCCCAGGGCTTTAACTGATGTGCTGAGAATCTGTAAGTGCTCACACATGTTATGTGATGCATAAGTGTGCATCATAGAACAGGATCAGCAAGACAAGTGTGTATCAATTTCACTTGTTCGGGCAGTTCAGAGGAGAGCTGGGCAGATGCTTTAATGCCAGGGCCATAGGAAATGCAAGCCTGGAAATGCCTTTTTTTTTTTATCTTCCTTTTGCTTTCTGGCTTATTTATGGACAGCATTCCAGAGCATTTATGTGTTGTTTAATCTTGTATTTTATTTCTGTACTTCAACATTGTTTAACTAAAGAGTTTATTACATGTACATAGGCTTCCTTTTAGTCCACCCCACTATATTGTGCAGTGCTGCTTTACACTTGTGACTAAATAAGATGAGAAAGGATGGCTCTGAAGTATTGGGTGTTGTACATTGCTTTTCAGATATTGGTGATTTTAGTTATTTCTAGAACGTCTTTCTTGGATTACCTAACAAACATTACATGCTTTGAGTTCACGTTACAACCTTGCTGTCTTTGATTTGCTGTGGAATTACAGGAAAAGTAGGGATATCCAATTTTTATGCCTGGAAAGACTTAAGTGTTCAAAAGAAAAGAGGCTGCTAGCTAGAAAAGTCTGGCCAGTAGCAGCAGGTCTGCTACTGTGACTCATAATAAGTATTATACCAGTGATGTATATGTAAATAATGTCTGTTCTTTCATGTTAAATGATAAAAATGAGACTGGTAAAATACAGAAAGGCAGAAGTAAAAGCCATGCAACTGAAACGAAGTCTAAGACTGATGAGCAAGTTCAGGTTGTGAAAGGTGTTTTTTTTTTTTTCAAATTGCATATATCTGGCATCTATCACTTGCTACACCAGGCTGCATTATTCATGCAAATACAGAATAGCTTCTACCTTCTAATATATTTTTTGTCCATTTAATAAAAATACTGCAAGGAGAGATGGACCAGAAACAATTCTTTAAGACTAAAACTGCTCCTTCTCCTACCTTTAGCCTTAGTGAGAAACTGAACATATCTAAAACAGTCAAAATACAGCTAGTCGATAATGGATATAATAGCAAAAAGCTTCCCACATCCCCTTTGGCTTTCATTTAGATTCTGCAAGGGAAGGATGTTGAAAACTACATGAAAGAAAAAAGTTGGGAACGAAGGTGATTATTTCTCTGCTTTCAGTGACTTTAGACATAGCAAGCTGAGGAGATAGGGTGAAGCCCTCCTTGAGAAGAAGTATCAGGATTTCTCCAGATAACATACCTAAGCAGTGAAAGCATCCTACGGAACTCACCTGAACCTGCAATCTGAGGATGGGGAGGGGGCGAGGTGGGAATATTTACCCGGGCAAATTCAAGTGCAGCATTCCCAGCCGCCACTAGTTGTCACTTTGCAACCAGCCGGGGTCGGTGTTTTCAGCACTGCGGTTAGCGAGATTGCGGTGCTAATTAAACGGAGTAACTCCCAAAGCCGCGGAAAGTCCCGAGCCCGGGGCTGTGCGATAGCCAGTCTCGGGGAACCGAGAGGAGGCGAAAAGGCAGCTGGAGAAAGGCGGAACGCCGCTGTCCTAAGGCTGAGGCTGTGTCTAGGGGCTATGCCCTGAGCTTGGGGTCGACAGGGCAGTCCAGCCAGGCAGCGCCCGGTGCGCACACACTCCTCCCGTAAAGCCGAGCCTTACCTGAAGAAAACGATCGTCTCCCACACGTAGACTCCGAGCGCGTTGACGTTGCACATTTTTCCAGCTCTCGCTGATTTTTTTTTTTTTTTTTTTTTTTGTACTCCGTGAGGGGTGGGCCGGTGGGGTTGGCCAATAAAGTAACCCGGCAGTTGAGGAGAATTGGTAGGGGAAGCGAGCCACCCCTCCCGAGGCAGGCTGGGCAGGGGGAAGGCCGGGAGGGCTCCGCTCAGCACCCTGGACGGTGGCGGGAAGGGTGGCTCCGCTCAGCACCCTGGACAGCGCCTGGCGGCCGCCCCCGATCAGCACCCTGGACAGCGGCGGTGCGCGGCGCTCCCGCCACTGCAGTGGTGCTCGGGGCCGGAGGAGCAGGCTTCCCGCACCGAAACCTCCCTTCAGCGGGATCTCGCTCCGGACATCAGGCTGGCGAGAGGGGGAGACGCAGGGGGTGTAGGTTTGCCATCAGGCTGGTGGGGGGTAAGATGGGAGAGGGGGGGACGACCCTCAACAACCCAGGGCGTTAATCTCCGCTGCTAGCCGGGGTGTCTTCCTAATTACATCCACAGGCATTTGTCAGTGTGGAGCCGTGCTGCAGTCCCGCTTGTGTCGCTTTCCTGCCCGCCGTTTGGCTGCTGTTGATTCTTGCTTCCTGGGCTATTTTCCTCCCGAATAAGTTATTGCTGCTGCAGGGAAGGTGTCCCATTGCTCAGGGCTAGAGTGGAGGGGAGCGAAGGGGAAGTTTCTTGGGAAGCGCTCCCATTGTGCTCGGAAAGAAAGTGGCTCAGTGTCCTCCTAATGCATCTCATTTCCCCTCTGCCCTCTCTCCCTTGCTAGGACTCGCCAGATCTTGGGAGTTTCTTGCTGCATTAATTTACTAAACTAAAAAAAAAAAAAAAAAAAAGAAAAAAAAAAAAAAAAAGGAGGGGGGAGGTGGAGAAGAGGGAAGGCAGAGGGGAGGGGGTAACTCAGCCTCTTCACCATCCCAAGGCCCTCCTCTTAGCTGTGCTCATTGGTCTCGGGGCTGAAAAAACTGGTCTAGGACGTGGTTGGATAAAGGCATGTTGTTCAGCAGAAGCTGTTAACCTCTAAAGCGCTGATACGTTTTGGTTTATTTCAATTTTTTTAACCAGAATCCTTGTCTTTTTAAGAAGTCTCTGAAATCGTCTCCCTTCACGGGGCAAGCGTAACGTGCCTTAAGTCTCCATCTCGTGGAAGATCTGCTTGGCTAGCAGTTGCTATGTGTTGCTGTTGGCTTTTAAGGAACATCTCTGTGCTGTTGGTTTTTTGTTTAGTTTTTTTTTTTTCCCCTTTTTTCTTTGCTTTATTTGATTATTTTTTTTCCCTTTTGTATTTGGTTTTGCAAAGAGGTTTGGCAAACACCAGAGCCACAAGGCCAGGGCAGGTAAGGAGCATTTAGCAGTTTCTTATTGCAGCTCCAGCACCCTGGGCTCCGGCTGTGCTCGCAGGGTGCTGAGTGTGGTGGTCGGGGTGGGGAGGAATGGGCTCCTTAGTCACTTTGCCAGTGTGCCACCCTGCTCTGCTTCTCATCAACTTCTGAGAATTGAAACTAAAACTTAGGTCTCCTAAATAATCTAGGATTACTTTCTTCTCTCTTGTCCCGATGTAATGGGATTTTTCTTCTTTACATTCAGTTTTGTTTACTTGTCCTGTGCTTTGCAAAACTCCCCATGGCAAAGAAAGAGTTGCTTTTAACCCCTCTTTACTGTTTTTAATCTGTTCAAAGACTTCTCCCATCCCATTTTAGGAAGGTGGAGGTGAAATGGGCTGCTTGCTCCACCACTACAGTAGCCCTCCAGGCTAGGAAATAACCAAATTTTTCTTCTCACTTTGGGTTGTATCACAAAGGACTTTACTGCCATACTGAAATTCACCTTATGTTTTTGATCTCCTGTTTTTATTTGTTTTAAAATAGTATGTTTACTTATCTGAGCAGACAGAAATATCCTTTGAGTTGTCATTCAAAAGAAAGGGGAAGAAAGACCTGCTTGGCTTCTAGCCATGGATACAGAAGGAGTTTAATCTGATTTACTCCAGCTACAGGGTCTCAATGTCTAGCTAGATTAATAACTGGCTCTGATTTCAACTCATGGAGATTCCTGGGGATGTGATTCCATGCAGCTCTTCCTGCCTGCTGCTTGCTGGCTCCCTGCTGTACTTTCTCTCCTGATATTTATCCCCACATGGACGAGCCTCTGTCACTGTGCTTTTCCAGCCCCCAGTGTGCTGACAGACCAGAGGAGGAGCTCCAAACTGGGAGTATTAACAGGATCCGCACAGCAGGAGAGAAATGGTGTTTCCCTGCATTTTTACTGGGAAGCAGGACAAAGAACAGGAGGCAGAGTCATTTCTTGGCATCTGTGGGTTAAATCTAGAGGCTAGTCAGCCTTCTGTTTCCCTTAGAAATGGGCTCTGTAAGAGATATGACTGTCTCATGTGATTTCTCCCTTGGTTGTAAGTTTGATCTTTATTATATCAAAGGAATCTGGACTTGCCTCCTTTTGTCCCCGCTTGCTCTCCCTGTACTACCTTGGGCTAGGGGAGCAGGGTGGCTGTGCGTAAGATCAAGAAAGCAGATGAATCTCTGTGTGTATATAACACAAAGAAGCTTCACAGTTATTCCTGTTGAAGGGTCTCAAAACTGCTTTTCCCAGGGAAAGAAATTACCTGCTTTGCTGTCATCTATCCTGGTGATGATGGTGACTGGGTGATTCGTGTGGGGCCTGGGATTCTTCTGCTGGTATTCAAACGTTTCTTCTTACTGGAGAGAAATAGGAGTATTATTTGCTTTGGCATTTGGGGAAGCAGAGGCAAAACCAGATTGCAATAAATGTTTGGAGCAGGTCTAGGCATCAAGATGATTTAGATCAGTGAGTAAAATCAAAAGATATGTAAATTTAAGGGATGTGAGTTTTGCATGCCTTATCAGGAGGACCCCAAAGGTTACCTGCACCTTCTGCGTTGTGTGTTTTGCTGTGATGGGAAAAAGAACATATTCTGCATCAAACTTTCCTTGGTGTTTTTGTTGTTGGTTTTATTTGTTTTTGGCTAGGGATATCTTCCTCTAGACCATATGCTTTTGTATCTCCTCCTGGTGCCAAGTGTGTGCTGCTTGTATGTGTCAGACCTTGGTCAGGGTGGCTCCGCATCGTTGGAGTTCCCATCCTCTGACCTAACCTAGATGATTCAAGAAACAGCCAACCAGCCCCCACTGAAACCTATCTATAGGTGTATCCATGGTGAAGTTACCCACACTGGTTCTGTACAGTGCCTGATTTTTAGTTTCCTTTTGATTTCCAAGAAGCTAAAGGCAGATAGACTGGAAATCAGGTGTAGAGATCTAATAAGGGCTGGAAGTCTATTTTATCACCATTACTGTAAGTAACCCTTGTCATCAGGTACTGCTTGGCAGGACTCTTCTGCCTGGATCTGTCCTGGCTTGCTTTTAGACTGGGTTTTAGCTCTCTGCTTGGTTTTGATGCAG